CTATTACTGTTGCCAAGAAAAATACAGAAAACACTTTTTAAAAAGTCGAACCTTTTTCCTAGTTTATGCTCTAGTGATATATCAAGAGATTCTTTCTGTATCTATCTCCTTTTTACTCTCTCTCACATTCCATAGCTATGTATCTAGACAGGAGTGCATGTGTGTGCGCCTACACACACACACACACACACACACACGCTACCTGTTGGTAGCCCCAAAAGAAAATGTGGGCTGCTTTATTGGGATGCAAATACTTTGTATCAAGCACTGTGCTGAGTACCCTTGTGTATAATTTCTTGTTTAAATTATTAGCACATTATGTTTGAAGGAACTGACCATAATTCCTGTTTTGTAAATGGCCTAGATTATTTTGATTAATTTATCTTACTTACACTAATAATAAATAACAGATCTGTGATTTGATTACAGATCTACTGATTCTTCCCATTTTACCAAATTCATTTCAATGAGAACATTTGTCTGTATTCTTCCTGAAGTATTTTTTTCTCTTTTTGCTATAGTCATTAAATGACAGTGACAACAAATCTTGGTTGGAAAGAGTCAAGGGATAGGTAAATTTAGCATCTAATTTCTCTAAGTGAGTTCTAAAGGTAGGGACTATTCTGTGACCAAGATGCTGTGCTATCAAAGTTGTTAGGTGGCCTCGGGTTTGTTCCAGTCTTCTGGGGAGAGCTTGTCAGACCATCCTTCTCATTACAAGAGCAGGAAATATTCCTGGGGCATTCTTCCATCTTGTACTCTACAGCCTACTTGTAATCCTACTGTCAGTTTACTCTTCATTCCACCCATCCATTACCAGACACTGTTTTCTCTGGTGCCCATCACCTGGCCTTCCCAGCTGAGATTAGACTCAAGCATAATGAATGATGTGAGCATTGTCCCTGCCTGGTCAGTGCACATCTCAGAATTTGAACAGTTTGCTCCTTCGTGCCTTTGACAGCAGTTCCTGGGCTACTTGGCTCAATGGGAAGGTATATGAGGAGAGGTGAGTTCTGTTTCTCACCTAGAATCATGAAATGCCAAATGTCCATTTAGAGTCCATTTTGATGGTAGAGACTCTCAGACTTTGTGATTATTGGTGAGGGCCTTTCTTTTCATTCTGATAGGTTTGTTTTCAAAAATAGTTTTTAGGATGCTGCTGCTTTTTTATTTTTAAAATGGTAATCGAATACCTTTGTCAATTTTGTACTATTACAGTAGAATATTACAGACTGAGTCATCTATAGTGAACAGAAATTCAATGGTGTATAGCTCTAGAGGATTGGAAGGTGACATACTATGACAGAAGAAGACAGAGGAAGGGTGAGAGAGAAAAGGGACTCAATTTTTTATAGCCATCTGTGTCCTTGGACATTTTCTTGAATCCATGCATGGGCACACTCAAGACAGACGTCTCAGATCCCAATACTGGCAAATTGGAGGTTAGGAGTCCTGCACGTGGCATTTGGGGATCACACTTACACCATGGCATTTAGTATCCTAGACGCAGAGTCACAGAGGCACGGAGCTGAAAGAACGCACACTGTTCCGGTAGGTAGATGTCGGCTGAGGGTTAAAGTAGACATAGCAGAGTCTTTCTCACTCCTTTTTAACATCCGCACACCCCATGAAACCATCGTTTCCCTCAGCTCCTACAAGTTTTGATCAGTGGGACTGTGGCTAAGTTTGGAACTTTATGTCCTCTCTTCATGGCCACAGCCTCATCTCCCCCACTGGCATTTCTAGGGGCTCTGTCTCCATAGTTAGCATTGCTTCTTTTTTTATATTGGCTCTATCCCTTGTTATAAACACACATTATTAAGTATTCCTACTGCCTGTAAGGCTTTAGGGGGACAGACCCAGTTGCTCACTGTTGCTAGGCCTTGTCAGTTGACAGTATATTTTTAAGTACACTCTCTCATCTAATTTTAATATTGTTTTGTCCGCATAGAGCTCCATTTCTTTTTCCATTCATGCAGCAGATGAATGCTTCCTTAACGTCTATGTAGGAATAAGTTATGTAAGTTTTAATGAAGTCATATAATAATTAAAAATGGCATATATTAAAGTTTGTCCAAGTTGTTTTTATGTGAGATTGCTTTTAATGAAGTTGTGAGCTTTGGGAAACAGGGTTGGCTGTTTTAGGGTAGATATTGGACTTAAAGAATTGGTAAAAAGCAGTGCACTTCCAGAAGTGAGCCCAGTATGCCCAAGGCACAGGCCAGGCATACATACAGTGTATTTTTGTGTCCATCTCATACAAAGTTTTTTTTGTTTTGTTTTGTGTATGCTGTTCCTGGAGTGCAGAATGTAACTTCATTTCCCCTGTACACATCTCCTTGCCAATTCTGTTCTGATTAGGTTTTGTGGTCTTAAAAGGAAAATTGTTGATAAACAAGATAAATTCATTCTTAGTTTCTCTTCTCTGGTTGTAAATGTTCAATATGGTGTTTGGAGGAAGAGGTTTTTTTTTTTTTAGAGGTTTGTTTGTTTGTTTGTTTGTTTATTTATTATACAATATTCTGTTGCATGTATGCCTGTAAGTCAGAAGAGGGCACCAGACCTCATTACAGATGGTTGTGAGCCACCATGTGGTTGCCGGGAATTGAACTCAGGATCTTTGGAAGAGCAGGCAATGCTCTTAAACGCTGAGCCATCTCTCCAGCCCCAAGGAAGAACTTTGTTAACAGAGTAGTATTTCTTTTAGTTTTTTCCAGGCTCTGTCTGTTTGCCTCCTTCTTTTCTTTGGCACTGTGAATTCATTAATCCCATTGCCTTGCTCATGCACAGCACATCCTCTGCAACTGAGCTATACCCCTCATCCTAGTGGCAGTTTTCATGCTTTTGTTTAAGTTGCAAACGTTAGCAAAACATCAATAATCCTACTTCATATCATTATGTTGATATGCAGACTTTGAGAATGTGAGGCAAGTCATTAATTTAAAGGAAGCGCTGTATATGCCATTGTATTTTTGTTAAAAATTTTGAACTGTGTTCTGATGGGTTGGTCAAAACAACTGATCCAAACAGTACCTGTCTAAATGCCTCTGGGAAGTGCTGATGATCATGGATGTAGATTGCGAAAACTTCACATGGTTTTATCAATCTTCTAGATGCCTTGGAGACTGCAAAGATAAATAACAAACAAAGTCATTTTTGCTTGTGTCTGATACCATGCAATGAATTCTAACCATAAGGAAATATTTAAAGTAGAAAGAGAAAATTTATAAGTGTAGGTTGCTAGGGTTTTGAAGAAACCCTCCAAATAGCATGGTTTTTGTGCCAAAATTCTGAAACTGTTGGTAAAGGGAAAGTAAAGTGTCAATTATACAATAAAAGTAGTGACACTGAAGGATATATCCTAAGTTAGGGTGCACTCGCTAGCTGAACATGGGAGATTGATTTGTTTAACCATTTAATAAAAGGTATTAAATAACTTTACTCCTTTTTTATCCCTTCCCCCATTATAGGAAAACTTTCCTCCCTTCATGTATTGAAACAAGGGTCTTGCATGTATTTTGCAATTATTTTACCTTTGAGTTCTATTCACAACCTTATCAACGTAAACCGAACTACATTTACCATCTGTAGACGTCATGGTTTTTCAGATGGAACACTGCGGCTCCCCAGGCCATTCATGTACCCTCCTTTTTTTGCTTAATTTTTGCTAATTAAAAGAATTCACTCCTCTTGGAGCAGATAAAAGTGGAAAGAAGCTAGGGATTATAGCAATTGAATCATTAAAAAAAACTCATGAGGATGAGGGGGGTGGTACTGGTAGAAGCGTTTCTTGCAACTTCTGAAGTTATTTGGAGCTTTATATATTCTAAATGCTCTGCAACTAAATCTGTGCAGAATGGGGATGGCAAATTGTTACTGCCTTAGAATGTGTGAGCCTGGCAATTACTTCCTGCACTTTGACCCTTTGATGTTTCAGCTAATTACCAATTAAGAGCCATTTTAGCAAAGAATATAAGTCCTGGTTCCAAAATCTGCTTTAGACTTGTGATAGCACTGAGAAAGCAGCAATTTTGTGCTTTCCAAATGTGTATCAGTAGCTTGAAATAAAATCCTTCATGCAATGTGGTACACCCTTTAAGACAATATATTCTCGCTAATATAGGATGGTTCTTTTTGAAAACATGGATACTGCCAGCTCTGATCAGTTATTCCAAGAGTTGGAGTGTGTATATTATGTAGTTTAAGAATATCTTGATGAGTTTCTTTTTATATTTTTTTAACTGCACACATGTCTGTGGGATACTTTTGTGTATGGTGCCCTAGATGGCCAGAAGAGAACATTGAATCTTCTGGAACTGGAGTTACAAATGGTTTTGAGCTACCATGTGGGTGCAGGGAATTGAATCCAGGTCCTCTAGAAGGAGCACCCAGTGCTTTTAATCACTGAGCTATTTTTTTTTGTTCTAAGTTTATTTTATTGTATTTACTTATTCAATACACTCACTATATTTATAAAAATATCTATTTAAGTAGCCAAGTAAGCTTCCTACAATGATAAAATAAATATTAAGTAAATTACATATTTTAATAACTAGGATTCTTTCTTTTTAGTGTGACATAAAACTGTAGTATGTCTTTTAATCTGTGGGATTTTTGTCTTGATGACAATGTGGTGAATAGAGTTTATATACAATCTTGGATGTTTTATAATGTAACTTCATCCTTCTCTGTGCTCCACTGTCCAAAGAGGACGCTGTTGACTAGAAATAAATGTTTTAGCTTCAACAATATTGTAACCTTGAGCCATTACTTTACATATGTCATTGATTCTTCTTGGACTTTATCATTTTTCACTGGGTAATTATGCCATAGATTGTTGAAGAGAAAGATTGGATCATGTCATTTGCAATAACTGTAAATACTATGGGTAACTTAAAAGGTAGCCTCTGTTACAATCCAGCATGCATACGGGTAAGCTTGGTTTTTTTATCTGTAAAATTTCCAACTAGCTAAATCTCCGTTTTTATTTTTCCTACAAGGGGGTCCTGATGACAACTTAATTGAAGGTGGAGGAACAAAATTTGTCTGCAAACCTGGAGCCAGAAATATTACTGTCATATTCCATCCATTACTGAGGTAAGTCATCCCATCCCCTATGATATTCTCATCCGTGATCAATATTCTCATTATTTATGCTGATGTGCCAAGTGCCAATAGTTCAGCCAGCATTGAGTCAAATCATTAGAGAAAAGAAACTTGTTTCATTTTGTAAGGTTTCACAGTGAAAGTTAGTCAATAGAACAGATAATGTCAGCCAAGCTGCTCTCTGTTCTCAGGAGTAATAATAGCTCACAGACACTTGAATTTGATTTTCTTTACTTCTTTCTCTAGTCCTGCCCATCTTCTTCCCTGCTCCTTCTCCTTTTTTGGATCTGTCTCAGTGACCCCCTGGGGACATCTCGCCTACCATCTGTTTTCATAATCACACATTTGTTGACCACAGTCTTGCTCATGTGTCCATTTGTAGCCTTTGCACTGCCATTACAGAGATGAAGCATTGCAGCCTAAGTCCTAGCCTGCAACCTGCGTATTTTCTCTGTAGTTCTTCGCAAGAAAAACAAATGACTGACCGTGGTCTTTGTACTCATTTACACTAATTACTCCTTCAATATCTTTTGAGAATTACCAAGTCTCTGAACAGATGTGATTTACAGAAGCCTGAAAGATATTCAGAATAAAATATATGGCTTTGTTTCTCGGAAGATAATTTGATGGTGAGCAGAATAAAATCTGTTACATTGTTCATTTCTCAATTATAGTATATTGTAGCAAAGAAAAATTCATGATGCTTTCACAAAATATTCTTAAGTCCTAAGTACTTTTAAGAAGGCACTTTTCTGGGTTAAAAGGACAATTACTCGGTAGTTACAAACTCTGCTTTTCAGTTAATGATATCTAGAGATCTCTGTGCATGACAGTGTAAAAACAGTTTGTAAAATTACGGAAGGCTAAGATGCTATATTTAATACTGTGATTCATTAAATTAGTTTTGAAAATACATAAAGAACAAGCATATTAATGGGTTATATAATGTTTTCATACAAATAAGAATCTTGTACTACCATGTTAAATATGTTAGACATAATTCTTTTTTTTTTTTGGTAAAATCTCAAAATCCTTATTTTTGAAATCTGCATTTTTGTCTGCAGCCCTTCTGCTGCAGAACTGCATATTATTTTCTTCCTTTTATTACCTTACCTACAGCTCAGCTTTTGCCCCTCCCCTCTTCTCATAGTCACCAACTTTCCACTGTTAACTTCCATGAGATGAGCATTTAGATTCCTCAAGAATGAGATCATGCAGTTTGATCCATATTGTTACAAATGTCAAAACTGACTAGTATTCCATTATGTATCACATTTCTTTTATCCAGTCATCAGCTAAAGGATACTCAGGTAGTTCCCACTTTTCTTTTGGGTATGTACCCAGCATGGAAAATCCTGGATCATCTGGTCTTAATTTTTGGTGAACCTTCACTGTCTTTTTCCATAATGGCTGTTTTAATTGACCTTTCAGGCAATTTGCATATAGTAGCTAACATTATTTTATTGTATACTTAAAATCCTTAATAAGGAAATTTAATATTTTACATTTATGCCTGTTTATAGAAGGAACTCTGTATTTATATAATTGCTTTTTTCTGTAAAGAACTATTATATGCTGACTATATTTATATATAAAGTAACAGAAACTTTTAAATCCTTATGAGGTGTATCTCAGAATAACACTTAAACCCTCTAAAACTCTTGCTGCAAGTAAATTCACTTAAGAATCATGGGGTTGGTGGACAATGAGGACTGCTGAGAAGTCAATGACAATGGCACTGGGTTTTGATCCTACTGCATGTACTGGCTTTGTGGGAGCCTAGCCTGTTTGGATGCTCACCTTCCTAGACCTGGATGGAGGGGGGAGGACCTTGGACTTCCCACAGGGCAGGGAACCCTGACTGCTCTTTGGACTGGAGAGGGAGGGAGAGGGGAGTGGGGAGGGAAAAGGGAGGCAGGGAGGAGGCAGAAATTTTTAATTAAAAAAAAAAAAAAAGGAATCATGGAAGCCGGGCCGTGGTGGTGCACACCTTTAATCCCAGCACTCGGGAGGCAGAGGCAGGCGGATCTCTGTGAGTTGGAGGCCAGCCTGGTCTACAAGAGCTAGTTCCAGGACAGGAACAAAAAAAAAAAAAAAAACTACGGAGAAACCCTGTCTCGAAAAATTAAAAAAAAAAACAAAAAAAAAACAAACAAAACCAAGAATCATGGGGTTAAGAAAAATAAGACTATTTAATCGGCTGATATATATTATATATGTTACATATAAAAGGTAAATTATAATGTAAAACTTATGTATTTTACTATATTGTCCATATATATCAGGACTTTGATAATTTGTTTAGTCATGTTCTGCAATTACAATTGATTTTTACTTAGTGTTGTTAATTGCTAAGAGAATAGGAACATACCTGAATCTTTATAGGCCTCTTCTAAACCCAGTTTGATGCTGCTTAGTTGTGCCATAGTCTGAATATTTCAAGTATGGAAGAAAGCCCCATGGAGGGTAGAATTTAACACATTGTATAAATAGCTTTCTAGTGCTTTCTAAGAGCTGCTTAATGGCTTCTGGGATTCCCACTTCTTTTACCCATTCCATTTGTATTCTGAGTTTTGTTATTGTTGAGAAGAACTGAAGGTTTGTCACATGATATAATTCACCATTTATTTCTTTGAGTATCTCTTAATGTATGTAGCAAGAATTTTATATGGCTTGCAGGGTAAATTAGTTCTTTGATAAACATGTGACAATGAGAGGCTTTTCATTAGCTGTTGGCACAGATTCAAATCTTATTCCTTAAATGCACTATTGAGTTTCAGTTAAAATCTAATGGACTTATAGAACTTCAAATGACTAAGCCCTTTAGTAATATTTACTTTTTAATTTTAATTATTATTACCCAACATTTTCTAAGTGTCCATTTTTTCTTAAGTGTATAAATTAATTGTGTAATTAGGAAAATCAGCATGTATATATAATTCCACACATTGATTTTCATCATGAGTTAACTCTTTACTAGTATTTAGATTAATAGACTTTTATTATATTATTACTTATTATGTTATATCTATATTAATACTGTTCAAAAATATGTTCTTATTTAAAAGACATTATGGCAAAATGAGACAGGCAGATTGGAAGAATGGGAAGATGTTGGGAGGAGTAGAAGACTTGAAATTTAAGATGAAAACCATAACATGGTATCTTGTTCATTCTAGATGCTTCCTTTAGCTTTTATTACCAATTATTTACTAGACTGTGCTTTTATGTAAGGTTTACAGGAACATGATCAGCTCACATTCTTGTCTATGAGGTGCTTGCTTAGTCACTTGCTTGGTAGGAGACAGAAGTTGGCAGGTCTGGGCACAGCAATCAATCAATGGAATCTTTTAAACTTATCAGGGAAAATACATACGCAGGGTCTGTATTGAAACAGAGTGACAATTATTTTAATTGCATATTCTGTTGCCCATTCATCTTCCTCCTGCTAATCTTCTGGGAAGTTTCTATTTCGATCAAGTGACTCATATTCCTGACTTATCTCAAACTTTTCATTTTGTTTATAACTTACACTGTGATTATGAGGCACAGAAGTAACTTTTCTCTCAATAATATTTAACATTAGTTTATTAGCAACAACTAATATTTGTGTTAGTAGACTATGTATGCTTCATTGTGTCTTTTACTGAGCTCTAATATTTTCTTCACTTGGAGACAGATCTGGTATCTCCCCCCTGTTGTAAAATGGTGCAGAGGTGGACCTTGGCGGACCAAGGGGCCCTGGGGTGGGTGAGGGACATACGTGCCACACAGGCAGAGCTTATGTGGGAGTTTTATTGAGATAAAGGGAGTGGGGGAGGGAAGAGAGAGAAGACACAAGGATCAGCCTGCCTCTTTAGAAAAGCAGTGGGAAAGAGAGTGAGAATGGGCGGAGCTTTTTTCTTAATGGGACCTTTGTATGTGAGTAGTGATTTAGTCATAGGACCCTAGGCTGTCCAGGGTACCACCTGGGTTTGTCCTGCCAGGTGACAGGGGCCAGCATAATACCTGTATCCTAACACCTCCTCTATCTAGCATCAATGGCGCTCTGTCTTCCTGAAACTTTTCATATAGCTTTGTACACTTCATTTATGAAGAAAGCACTTTTGTAATTTGTGTGCCACTGGTAGTGCGTTCTTCAGTGCCTAGAGGATTTTCTCTATTGGAAACTGAACTGTCCTTCAGAGAGCACTGTGAAGTTGATTCCCGTTATTTTGTTTGATGTATTCCCAGAAGGCATTTATGTTTTCCTCTCATAAAATTATCCTACAAGGTCTTCCATTATGGTAACCTTGTAGTCTTATTTTTGTACTCCTCATAACCGTGGCAGCCTTACCACTAGGAAGCCACAAAGGATGCCGGACGCAACTGTACTGGCTTCCAACTGTTCACCCCATTAACTCGGCTGGCCCTTAAATGTTTACTTAATATTTTTCATTGCTGTTAACTTTTGGTGAATCTTGTATCTTAAGAACATGGAAGATAGAATCATCTTGCTTGTTTTACTTGTAGCCTACCAAGAAATTGTAAGCAATTGAAGCCACAGTAAAAGCTTGCAATGAGAAGAGGTTATTTAATCAATTTTCTGTCTCTCTGTCTAAATGAGGAAAAGCATATTGAAACAAATTTGTATTGGTCAAATTACAGTGGGTTTTAATTTTCTTTATATGTTAGCAAAGAATTGATTAGTTTGCATGTTGATTTCTGCATTTTAATTTTTATGATTCTGACGAGGCAATAGCTTTCTTTATTTTTCAAGAATTCAAGGCCCTTACATTTCAAAAATTAAAAGTTTAAATGACAAATGAATTTCACAATGTGTTATTTCTTTTGCTGGTTTTTTAAAAAATATTTATTATGTATACAATATTCTGTCTGTGTGTATGCCTGCAGGCCTGAAGAGAGTACCAGACCCCATTACAGATGGTTGTGAGCCACCATGTGGTTGCTGGGAATTGAACTCAGGACCTTTGGAAGAGCAGGCAATGCTC